TGCTGAGGAGGTGCTTGGCAGGAGCCAGGTGATTGATTCAGAGACCAACATTGGGGACAATACACGGCTTGTGCATGCTGCCAGCCCCCAGGAGTCACAGCTGAGCCCCTGATGCATGGCAGCCTGTCCCAATGTGTCACATTTCCACCCTTAAGAAGTGTTGAGGATTCAATCCTGCACCCCCTGATCTTTGCAATGCTGCCACTTAACTCACACCTCTATTTTTTTGTTTCTCCCAGTTTTGGTCCCAGAAAGCTTTCCCCTGTGCCTCTCTAGCCTTTTTCCCTCCCTGTACGGCGCTGGCCCGGCAGTTTGATTCTCACCTTCTGCCCACCCCTACGGCACTTCGTCTCCCTGGACATCCACTCATCCCGGCCTCTAGTTTGCAGCCCTCTCCGTTGTACGTTTTGCCAACATCTCCATCTGCCGGACACAGAGCACACAGCACCTAAATACAGGGGGGGTTTTGTGTTGGGTTTTTTTTTTCACCTGCTTACAAATGTTATCGACTTCTTCTGGTTGATTCATAGGCTTTCAGGGAACTCCACGCTGTGAACTGAAGGCTTCATTAAACTGTGGATTAAAATTTTAAGGGGTCTTAACAAAGCAGCTGAAATGGCAAAGCCATCATTTCTCTTGATAGGCTCATGATTGCCATGCAGATGTCCCCTCCTGCATTGGCAACAATTTGGAAATCTCAAAACAAACAAACAAACCAAATTTAAAACAAACAAACAAGCATAATTAAAACCACACGAACAAACAAACAAAAAACGAACAAACTTTTATTTATGACCAGTGAAATTCCATTTGCCAGCAGCCATACTCCTCTGTGCTCCCATCCATCTCTTCTCGGTTAAAGTCCACTCAAGCCAGTTACTTCAAAGACATTCAAGATGCATCTGGCCATTGCTGAGACTCAACACATGATGCTAGCAGAAGCAGACTGGAAATAGGCAAGGCCAGTTGTTACAGTCCCCCCTCTTCTCACCTCTCTTTTCTGTGAGACATTTATCTGTATCCCTCTCCCTGTGACATTCCTCCCCAACTCTACCACATCTGCCATGCTAGTTCATTTCTGATTTTTTTTGTCCTGCCTCAGTGAACTTATGCCCCAAAACCAGGGAGTTTGATACATGCCAGGAAAAAAGCTGCTAGCTCACAGAATTTTCCAACCTTCTCTTCAACTTCCCCAGTAGTTTCCACTGGAGATTTCAGTCCTCTGTGCTCTTCTATAGCATCTCCTGTGTCATCCAGGATGTTGCTCCACTTTACCTGTGAGTGAAGCAATCTTCCTGCATAGATCCCACTGGTACACGGGAGGTGGAGTGAAACAGGCTGAGTGTCAGGCACTTCACTAAGGATAAAAGCCAAAACTCACCAAGGCACAGGACTTACCAGCTTGGTGACTGTTACCAGAAAATCCTGAGCGACCTAGTGCATCCATGGAGAAACAGCCATATAATGGCTTTGCAAGCAAGATCCAGGCTTGGATAGAAGCACAGTGATGCTGATACCCTGTTCACAACTCGCTGGCCTCAAGGGACAGAGGCTGATTGCAAACACTGCCACAGGTGGGAACACCAAGAACTGGTTATTCAAAGCAACAAAAAGTGCTCAGTGAACTCACAGGTGTGAGTGCCAAGGTTTCCAGCTCACCCACCAAATCACCAGGCTGCTTGGGGGTGAGATCCACTCCAGTTCACAGGTTTTAAACAAAAAATCGGATCTCAACAATCTGTACAATTAGAAAAAAATCTCAGAAACTAGAAACTCAAAACACCAAAGTGTTTTGAAGTACGAGGAGAAAGAGAGACCCAGTGAAGGATGCACAACAATCACCCTAAGAAAAATTAAAACAATGAATGTTTGAGGGTTTGGTGGTTTTTTTTGCAGAAGCACTAACAGGTTTGGAGCTGCCAGCAGGAAACCCTCTCCTGCTGCTGGAGCCTGACAGTGCTCAGGACCAGCAAGGCCTCGCACATCACACAGAAGGGACAGAAGTGCAGTTCCCCACGTCCCGAAGCAGGTGGCAGGGCTGCGTGAGGACCAACCCGCTCAGGTGGGAAGGGGTGTCACTCATGATACAGGGCTCCCAGTTCCTGCTGCTCCACCCAGGGAGCCCCCCGCGCCCCTCGGCGCGCCCGGCCCGGCTGCGGGCGCCGAGTGCGGGTCCACGGACCGAGTGCGGGTCCACGGGCCGTGCGCGAGTTCACGGGCTGTGTGCGGGTTCACAGACCGTGCGCGGGTCCACGGGCCGTGTGCGGGCTCACGGACACGCTTCCTCGAAAGCGCTCTGACAGTAAAGGATAAAACGCGCGCACGGGCTGGGCAGGTCACGCAACAAGCTGCGGCAAATCCGCGCGTCGTTCTCAAAGCTGAGCTCCCCGCGCCCTG